TCGGAGTTATTATTTTGTGATCCAAAAAAAGTAAAGTCGGCATTTTAATGCTCTCACCCCCTAGGATTGTTCTATATCGAAAAAACTATAACTTGTTTTTTAGTTTGAAATCAAAAAATGTTCAAAATCGCTCAAAGCACTCAAAGTTTTCGATATATTTTATAGCGTCAAAAAGTTTTCGTAGAAATGGTATAGAATTCTTGAAAATCGATATTTTTAATTCGGGAAATATAGTTTCTCATCATGAGACTTCCAATAACAATACTTAATTGTTTATTTAACTAGTTTCATTTATAAACTATTTTTACCCAAAAAAAAAATCGCCAATATTAAATAATGAAACAATAAACAATTGGGTAATATTATGGGCAGTCTCCTGAAGAAAAAAAGTTTTCCGATCGAAAGATATTGTTTTTCAAGAATTCTATACCATTTCAACGAAAACATGGAAAATTTTGCGCGCATTGAGCGACCTGTAAATATTTTTATATTTCAAAAAAAAACTACACCGCTGTTTTTTCAGTATAGAACAATCCTAGGGGGTGAGGGCATTGAAATACCGACTTTATTTTTTCACATGCTTTTTTGGACCACGCTAATGTACAAATGTATACATGTACAAAAGTATTCATCTATATATCGTTAACTTAATTCACAAAAGCCCTAACCAGCAAATTTTCTATTTTACAAAAGAAGCAAAAAAACATTTTAAAAAGTAAATCAAAAACAACAGACAGGCCTTTATAAAAGGGAACTGACTCCCTTGTATTTGATACTAACACTTTAAAATTTTTAGAGAAGGTGTATTTTAATATTCGTGGTCATAAGCAATAAGGGCCTAAGTCTAAAAACCTGAATTCGAGAAACCGCGTTTAAAAAAACTGGATTGTAATGTTAGCCTTATGGGGAAACCCAAAGTATGTTTGCCTATAACTTTTTAAGTGGCCTAAATAGCTGGCGAGATGGGGATTTCACGTCTGCATGGAATAGGGGTTCAATAATATAACTCCATATATAACTCCATTCTTTCATAAGTCGACTTAGGCGGTTATTGTTTGCGACCACAGATATATTCTACCAAAATCTGTAAACAACGCAGTTTCGAGAACAAAGTGTTAGTTAGGACCTTTGTAAATTAAAGTAACGATATGAACATAAGTCGCTGTTTCGTGTTTGGAAGTATTTTAGCTTTTTTAACTCTTTTAATTTTAATTGTGTTGTTATTTAAAAACCACATTAAAAAATATGTCTTAATTAGCATTCATGCATCTTTTTATAGTTAAATTACTTTACATTATTTATTTTCCAATATTATACCATGAAGGCCTTAACCAATACGTATGTATGTACATTAGACTGCATCACCAAAAAAAGTTGCGGTTTTCCGCCGGGATTACAAAACTTGCTATATTTTAACACGTCCACCAAAATATTTGGGGAAAATATTAAGAGTTAAGCGAGTGGACCGATTTGAAAATACCTCCAAAAATTTAGTTTTTTATGAATAAAAATAGTTTCTTAAATAACTCTTTGAACAAAGTCCCCTCAGATGACAAAACAAATTAGGCTTAACAAATCTGCATGAAAATATTTAAAAATCTTTTCAACGGAATCGTAATAACGAGATTTTTGATGCTGTTTTTTTACTTTTTTCAAAGATTGATTTTCGAAAAACTTAAATAACTTGGCCAAAACTATTCTGATTTAGACTAATGGGATCTCGGTATTTTCTCGCTACTTTTATTTATGTGCAAAAAAAGTCATTCGTGTCCCAACTTTTTTTTTGTTCAAATACCAGCACATCTTAATTCAACTTTGAATGATGTTCGTTCATCCTACCTTTCTCTTTTATCCTTTGAATGAGTTTATTAGCAAAGAAATAAAAAGGGGAGAAAATACCTTTTCAATGATACCCCACGAGTCTAAATCGGAAGAGTTTAGGTTCAGTTATTCAAGTTTTTCTTATACCAATCTTTGAATAAAGTTAAAAAAAACAGCATCAAAAGTATCCATATTACGATTCCGTTCAATTTTTTTTTTTTAATATTTTTGTACAAAGATTTTAAGCTTAAACCGTTTTGTCATTTATGGGAATTTTAAAAAAAAATCTATATCTATGGAGGTATTTTCAAATCGGTCCAGTTCACTTAAATCTTAATATTTTTTGAAATTTTGGGCGGACGTCATAAAATATAATAGATTTTATAATTTCAATGGAAAAATACTACCGAGTTTTTTTGTATGGGGAGTGATGCAGTCTAATGTACATGTCTGTATTGTGTTTACAAGAATTCGTTTAATTATTGTTTGTACTTTAAAGTTCTTTATAGATACTTTAAACAGAGTTTACTGCTTTATTTTATGGTACAACAATCGACTCAGTATCATACGAAACGAATTCGTATCAGTCGCCATTCACTATGCATTTTATGCTATTTACACAAAGATTAATTACTCAAGATTTATGACAAAATTTAAAAGCAAAAAATCGTGTAATTTAACTAAAACTAGTATTTTTATTTTTCGTAACTATGCAATTCTCTTTAAATATCTGAATTTGCAAGAATGCAAGTTACGGTAACGTCGAAATGTATTCAATGGATTTAAAATGCAACGAATTGGCTTTCGTTATACTCAAAATTATAAAAGCTTTTCCCTTGGAAAACTAATTGAAGACTGGCCAAGTGGCTCTCTGACCGGTAGCCGACGATTGACCTCCAACAATGCCATTACAGTTCAACAAGCTTCTTTTGAGCGTTCTAAATACGAGGCAACTTCCATCTGCCCTTTAAAAGGCGAACAAAAAAAAACAAAAAACAAAAATTTAAAAACAATTTTTTACTCGCTTCTACTTGTATAACTGGAATCTTGTAAATATTTTAAATTTATGCTTATTCATGCGCACACACAAAATGCACAAGAATAGCGCGGTAGACAAGACAAGACAAGACAAAGGATTGTCGGAGTAAGAACCACTTTTTACTTTCGCCTTTTTGGTGTTGCATTATCGACATTTTTTACGACACAATTACTGCAGCTTAAGAAGAAGATGGGAAGCAGAAGAGGTAACTAGAATTCAGCAATGCGGAAGCAGTCTGCATTTCAGGTTTTTGGATTACTATCTTTGGGACAGAAAAACCGATTTGTTGGTGTCGTTGTAGGATTTCAGTATGCACAAAAAATTGATAATGCAATTACAATGAAAACCATAAAAAAATGGTGTAAAATTAAGCGTGAATGTACATACATATATTCTTTGGAAATTACAAGGAACGCATTTTGTAGAATTTTCAGTTTCTTATCGGCAATCTTGAAAGGAAGCTGCGCGCAATTAACTGCGCTCAATTATGGACATATATGTATGTATGGAGCATATGTAACTTTTGAAATGCTTCTTAAGTGCAACAGGGAATGAATGGAAGATTAATGATGAAGTATCTTAACAGCCTAAATGATTAAGTATTTTAACAACCTACACCAATGCGTATTTTTTTGTGAAGGTCAATTTGAGTGCCAAGTTAACGCATATACTATATAAAGTTTCGGTTAAGAAGTTGTAAAGAGACCAACACACCATATGGCTTTACTTCTCACAAATTCCAGTCGGACTTATATATGTACATATGTAACCGCAACGATCCAGATTTATAAATGGTCAAGGCAACATTTTGTATGCTGTTACAACAACAAATTCTCATAAGTGGAAAATGTGGCACCAAGCATAAATCACTTTTAGTTTTTTAGTTAGGTAAGGCTGGATTTGGCAGGGTTCTCATGCCAAAAGTCGATGATCACAGCGGTTCAGACAGGCAAATTTCTCTAAAAACCTAGCCATATATGACTTTAAATAATCCCGATCTTTTAACAAATCGAGACAGCCTTTCCAGTGAGGCGGTGCCTAAGCTGTATAGGGCCTCGAAGAAATTATTCCCCAAATTGTGAAGGACTTTCTTTCTTAGTGTGAAACATGCGAAAAGGAAGTAGACCAACTTCTTTTAAAAAACTTTGAATGCTGATTTTTTTTTAAATATTTCCTTTAAAGAAAAACAGTGGCTATATTTGAAAAATGTTACCAAATTATCTTAATTTCAATTGGAAACCTGAAAGTTCTCAATATCTTAATTCATCTGCTGAAAAGTGCCGAAAATAAATTGTTAACAGCCTTTTGTTTTCTCCAAATGGCAAAATAGTTCACTAATGCACGGTGGTCTTGAAACCAGTCTTAAGATTTATAAATGTGTGCCTAAAATCGGCTTTCTTAGCCTTTTTCTACATCATTTGTAGGTTAAAAATCCATCGAGATGAAAATTGTAGTTGGTACTTTTTTCGAGATATTCACATTTTTATATTTTACTTTCTAAACGCAATAATCCTTGCTTTTACTAATACTTATTATTTTAACAATTCAGTATTATTCACCGTAGCGATTGCTAAATTTCAACTGCAGTCATCGAATGGGGATTCCACCTACAACACATCTAATCACTTATTCCAGGGGTATAATTTATAGTCCAAAACGGTATTAAAAATTTCGCAAGCAAATTAGGCAATAAAATATCGTAGGAGATGCAAGAGAAAAGGCACTATTTTAAGACAAAAAAAAAACAACTCATTTCCAAGAAAACTGTACCAAATTTAATTAGCACCTGCGATTTAGGCACCATAAACATTTAGATAACAAAGGCTAAACAAATAAGCCTGGGGGATTTTCTAAAATATTTCTCGCGATTCGTCAGCAAACTCGAGACACTAATTTCTAAGTTGCTGAGAAAAAAGATAGACGTGTGTGCTTGCAAATATGAATGTAAATAAAAATCTAAACAAATAAATATTTTTCATGGAATATATCAAAGCACACAAGTTATTTGCAACTAGATGATACCATTCGACAGCATCTCAAGTGAGACACGTTATGAGTGCGCTGTTGAAGTGTTTTCTTGAGACGGAATCGTACTATTGATTATCATTTTTTTTTCGTTTGTTTATTTTTTCGCACTCACCTTACTTAGAACAATCGTCACATCGTCGCTCTTCAGACGCGCAATCATAATCGATGCAATTGAGAGAATATAATCACCAGCCATTGTAACCTGTAAAATCACAAAACAAAAATAACAAATCAAAAAATTTAAATTATTCTTTTTTTTCATATGCATTCACTCATTCATAATCGACGAGTGATGGATGCTATTGAAAATCTGAAGTACTTTACATTTAGCACGACCTGAATAACTTCCGTAAATAATTGACTAAATGATGAATACAATTTTATTTTGCTAGTCATCACAGTAAATCATAAATCAATTACTGTATATTTTAATAAAACGGTAGAAAAGTGTAAAGTTCTCTGGTCTAGAAGCACCCTTTTTAACATAACAACAACTTAAAATACCTTATTCGTTTCATTTTTTTTTTTCAAGTACCAAATACATACATATGTACGTAAGTATGTGCATGCAGCAAAACAATTTTGTGGTAAGAATTGTGATTTCTGGAAACTATTTACTTAGCAGGCTAGTAGACAGGCCAACGGGTAGTGAAGGCACCAGTCATCGGTGTTACTGCGACTACTCATATACGCATACATACTGTTTATTTACTTTGATGCAATAATTATCTTATCTGACTGACTTTGAAGTTGTTTAAACCAAATGCATTTTAAAGTAGTTGAAAATATATGCAGGAAAAGTCAATTGAGGGCTTCGCCATGTTAAATAAATGAGTTCGTTGCTGGTAAAATAGTGAGAATTTCAATTAGTCAGCATTGAAAATAAGGTAGTTTATAAACTACTTCCAAATTAATTAAATTTCCTGCAGGGAAACTACACAAAACTATTACTGCAATATTAGTTAATTTAAATTCTTCATAACTTCTTGGCTTCAAAATACCACAAATTTGTAACTAATTACTTAAATAACTTCTTTACGTACATGCATATATGCATATGTCTATGTACGGTATATACGTACGACGTACGTGCACTAACTCATGTCAATGATTAGCAAGCGAGTTGAACACCTCTGTTGACTGCTGTCTGCTGTCTGCTGCTTGTCAACCATTCAGCTACCGCTGTCGCACCTTGTCTGCTCGTACCTAATTCGATCGGTTTGGTCATTTACACGCATTGCGTAATTTTGCGATTTTTCCATGCAAAGTGTAAACTTACCGTCATTTGAAAATGTTTTTGTCCCTTTGTTGCTTTTTTTTGCGTTTTCGTTTAACATTTTGCACTTAATAGATATTTTTATGTTTTTTTTTTATATATAACTGTATCGAATCTAAGTTCAAAATTCATTTGACTTTTTGTTTGATTTTAAAATTGCGGAATACATTCGAGTTTATGTTTTTGAAAGTGGATGGGCGATATTATTTAGCATGGGCTAGTGTTGACATGTAATTGTTTGTGATATATAAAAAAATTTTACTAAAGCTAGTTAGATTAGAGTATCAATCTTTCGTCGCCGTAAAGAAACTAAATGAAATGAAATGGAACGAAACGGAATGAAATGGAACGAAATTAAATGAAATGGCACGAAATTAAATGAAATGGAACGAAACGGAATGAAATGGAACGAAATTAAACGAAATGGAACGAAATTAAATGAAATGGCACGAAATTAAATGAAATGGAACGAAATGAGATGAAACTGAACGCAAAGAAGCGGAGTTAAATAAAATTAAATGATGTAGCTCGGAATGAAACTGAAATATAAAGGAATGGAATTACATTATTTTCAATTAAATTAAATTAACTTCAATTAAATTAATTTCAATTAAATTAAATACAATATAAAAAAATGAAATAAAATAATTAAAATGGAATGGAGATGAATTGCAATGGGATGGCATGGTATGCGAAGGAAATTATAAAATAAATAAAGTGTAGCATGAAATGATATCGAAGGCGATCGAAAAGTATAAGATGAAAGAATGCAATGAAATTAACTGAAACAAAAAGAAATGAAATGAAACGGAACGAAATTCAAAATAGTATGAAAAGTTTAAAGAAAACAAAGAGGCGAATGAAGTGGAACGAAATGAAATGGAAATAAAATAATATATACCCTTAAGAGAACGGAGAGGAGAGAAGTGTAAAAAAGAGAACTTTAATAAAAAGTAAATGAAACCGAATAAATTTAAAAAATTAAGCCGAATAAAACGGAAAAACATGAACCGAGGTAATGGGGATGAGTTAACCACATGACAGTTAGATGCATTGTTCACATTTCGGAGACCCAGACTGAATTCAGACATTGTTCAACATTTTAACAGAAAGCTTGCCCTTTTTTCCATAGCAAAAATATGCCAAAAATTAAATGGGTGTCTGCATTAACCTTTATTCAAAAACAGTACAATTTAGGTGTGGACCAGGACACCACACAATTTGTCTAAAACAAGGAATGCCGGAAAGATATTAAAGACGTTCTTCAAAATACAAAAAATTCTACGTACCAAATGAAGACAACCATGAAAATTTCAAAATTTTAAGCAAATAGAGGTTGCTATCATCCCATAAAAATTTAATTTTTTTTAAATCCCAAAAATTTTACCAGGTTCTAACTTTGACCAGTTATAACTGTATGAATTTAAACTTATTCATATCAATGTTGTCTAATTTTTGTGATTTAAAAAAAAAAATCAAACCATGCCAGCGATCCCCAATTTTTTTTATTTCGAAATTTTCGTAGGTGTCTTTATTTTGCATATAAAATTGACTATATTTGGATAACTGTTGAATCCCACATACATACATACAGTATCGGTCATATCTATAGCACGCCATTTCAAAGTGATATTGTGTACAACTTATGTTTATTTATTTATTTTTGAGAATTTTCAATTAAAATACAGTTCTTTCTCTAACAAACCCCATATAAAAACAAGTTTAACAATTTGTAGAAAACTTCAAAAAAGTGCAACAAATTTTCACCTAAATTTCAAACTTTTTTCTCAGAAGTGTTTGAATTTTTCTGAATACACAGTTTTATAGCCCAACCAATTTTAGTCTGATAATGTGCAAGTTTCAAGTTGCTAAAAGTTACCGTTGATTTTTTAGAATTTTTTTCGCCAAAGGTGTTGCACATTTCTTCCATATACAAATAAATGGAGTTTATTCATTATATGGAAGCCAATGCGAAGAAAAAAAAATTCTAAAAAATTAACGGTAATTCGTAGCCACTTGACATTTGCACATTATCAGACTAAAATTGAAGGGGCTAAACAACTGTGTACTCGAAAAAATTCTAACACTTCCGAGAAAAAAGTTTGAAACTTAGGTGAAAATTTGTTGCACTTTTTTGAAGTTTTCTACAAATTGTTAAACTTGAGTTTATATGGGGTTTGTTAGAGAAAGAACTGTATTTTAATTGAAAATTCTTAAAAATAAATAAATAAACATAAGTGGCACACAATATCACTTTGAAATGGCGTGCTATAGATATGATCGATACTGTATGTATATATATCCAATAGGGTGCTGTATACCTCAGAATACGGCATTAAAGAAAACAAAGCTACTGTTTGAGCGAGAACGATGTTATAACCAGTACGATAATAACTACATATTTAGTGCAAGACCAGAGCAGTTTCTAACTAATTTTTCATCTTGTATCCTTTGGGTATTACTTATTTGAATATTTAATATGCCAGCTAACTCGACAAACTATGTACAATTCCTTTGTAGTGTGTAAAATGCATTTTATTCCAACTTAAAACAGCATGCATTTTCAATTTATTAATTTATTTGGTACTCTGTTGGAAGCTACATATCTTCCGCATGGCAAGAAAATCCTTGTAAATATTCATTAAAAATTACCTAACAGCAAGCGCCGCAATGTGCCAACAAGGTGGTCAACTTTTCAACTCACCAAGCTGGGGCAAGTTTACGACCATAAACACACCCTCCGTTTGATGTGCAACCTGCACATGAGATCAATATCGAATGCCACTAGCACACACCATGCATTACCAAATTTCGTAATCGCTCGCAATTGCACTGACATGAGGATTTTTTTTTTTAAATTTTTTTTTTTATTTTATACATAAACTCCACTACTATCAGCATTTGAGTAATATCAAGCGAGCATGAACATGAAAGCGAAACCGAACACGAACCCGTTTTTAGGCGGCTAAACTAACTAACTGCATGCTTGCTTGAATTGCGCACGCGCAAACTGCAACCACAACAAACACCACATACATACATAGAAGCAATAACGGCAGTGGTAATGCATGGCATTGGCTGTTGTTGCATGCAACTACTGGTGGCAAAAAAAAGACAAATCGCGAGACAAAAATGAGTACAATTATTCCACAGCAACCCACTTATGGACACATAAATCGACGGCGCATTGCGGCCAATTGCAACACTCGGCTCGAATAACAGAGAGGAGGAAGGCAGGGAGGGGTGCATGCATGACTGATGTGAGGCGGCAATTGGCACTGCAAGGTGGCGGTGGTGGTATTTAGTGTAAACTTGTTCTCATTTCCCATATCGGTGTGGCCCGGCTCGGGCAGGGACCTTCAACGAGCGATTAGGAAATTTTTGCTAACCGAAAATGGTTAAATGGACAAATCTTGCAAAGATCGGTTAATTTAAGCACTGCTACTGGCATGCGAAACTAAAGCGCTTAAATGTTTATTAAACGTTTTAAATGTGATCTACTAATGTATACATATATGTATTATACATTGTTTGTATATAAAACTGCCTGGTAGCCAGTCGGGCGGCAAGCCAACCGCAGCGCCAACGTGTTTTGCCATTTTAGCGTTGATTTTCAGGCGGTCAATACCATGACACTTGGCAAATTTTGATGTCACAACCAAAAGCGACGCAGAGCAAATAACCAAAACAAGTCCAAAGTAAATTACGATTTAGAAAAATTGCTGGGTTGCAAAGTGACTGCAATTATGGAGTATTAAACAATTATTTAGGTGAATAATAGCATTTTGATTAACAGCAGTTATCGAAAGTGTCAGAACAATTGTAAGGCAATCGAAATTTAATTGTTTCTTAATTTATATGTTATAGTTGTTGAATCTAACTAATGCAGTTGTTTCTTGTGGCTTTTCAGCGCAACACCGCAAAATCGTGCAGGTTGTGTGAATATATATGTCTATGTATATTAGGGCGGGCCAATTTGTAAGGGAGATTTTTTCGACTATGCGCGTATACCACAGAAGGAATCTACGTATAATTCCAAGAAAATTTGCCGAAAAAGCCATGGGTCTAAAATAGGGTTGTACCAAATTTTCATGTGAAAAAATAAGGTCGGAATTTGATTGCTCTAACCCCCTAGGATTCTTCTATACCAAAAAATATACCCCAATTTTTTTTTTTTTATCAAAAAATATTTAGAGTTCGCTCAAAGCATTCAAAGTGTTCCATCCATTTTATATGGGAAAAAACAATTTTTAGAGTCGTCAAAAATCAATATTTTTCGATCAGAAAGCTCTCTTTTCTCTGCAGAAGATTCCCAACAATAATACCCAATTGTTTACTTAACTATTTTTTCATAGTAACTACAATTTTTAGTTCCGCCAAAAAATCCCAAAAACCCCCAAAAATGCAATGAGGGAACCTATAAAAAATTTATAGTATTAAAAAATGGTTAAACAAACAATTGAGTATTACTATTGAAAGTTTGCTAAAGAGAAGCTGAGCCTTCCGATCGAAAGATATTCATTTTCAAGAATTGTATACCATTTCAACGAAAGGTTGCTTTTTTCCATATAAAATACATGGAAACCGAGCGCTTTAATAATTTTTTCGATTTCAATATAAAAAAATGGGGTATAGTTTTTTTTCGCTAGAGATCAGTCCTAGGGGCTGAAGAGCATTAAAATTTACTCTTTTTGGACCTCCCTAGTATAAAATCAACTTGGAGTTTGTCAAATTGCGAAAATAGATTTCTTAGCATTTTGCTGTAAAATTGAAATGGTAAATTTTATATAAAAACATGCTATACGGTTTTTTTTTTGTATGAGGAATTTGGTTTTGCACTTATCTTTTTCATAAAACTTCCACTAGAGGGCGCAACAGTGAAAAGTTTCACAATATCATCGAAACTTATTTTCGCTATTTGGCAAACTCCATATTGATTTCAGACCTATGGTTTCTTCGGCAAATTTGCTTAGAATTACACGTATAATCCTCCTATGATAAACGTCCATAGTCAAAAAATATTGACCCGCCCAAATGTATATGTATGTAGTATGTATATACTTAGAACGAGTTAATTCATTCGATTTGATGATTGTTTAACAGAATTCTGGGTTGATGAATGTGAAGATATAAAATAGTTGTAGGACATTTGTTTGTATTCTTTCAAAAGAACTCGCTGAAAATCATTGCTATTGGAGTATCAGCTCATTAAAATGGCATGCCTATGAACCAGTCTGAATACCTGTGTTTCGAATAGAGGAACACATACAGTGACCAAAATATAAATTAGGATTCTGCATTTTAGCAAGGTTCGGCTATTTTACTTTTGTTTATTTAATATTTATTATTTTTTTTTTAAGCAAAGCTCTTTCCCTAACAAAAACCATATAAATCGACTTTGCAAAAACTATGAGAATTAATTCTGCAAATTTTCACCAAAATTTGAAACTTTATAATCAAAACATTAAGGAAAAAATTTCGTTGTAGTTTTGTAGCTCATTAAAATTTAGTATGATGCACTTTGCAAGTGCACATTTTCTTCCCTATCATGAAATTGTCTAACATACTAAATTTTTATGAAAAAATGCGTAGCACCGTCGACAAAAAAAAAATTAACGGGAAATCCTAGCTACTTATAACTTGCGCTTTATCGTACTAAAATTTAGCGAAGCTTTTGTAAAATTTTTTTTGGAGTAAAAATCTCGAGAAAATATATCCTACAAATTCGTGATGTTACTAAATAATTAAAAGCTAACATTTTTATTACAAAATCTCTCGATTTTAGACTGAATCACTTTTCTTTATCAATACATCGATATTTAATTAAAAAAAAAATAAATAAATTATAATGTCCGTTTTTAGTTTCTCGTTTTCAGTGCTTTTTTTGGGCATTTTGTTAATTACGGCATTAAGCGAAGTAAAAATCACCATGATGAGCCACTGTGAGACTTGGGAGATTGTCGAGGATATAACCATACAGAACAGATTATTGACTAAGGACTACTCCAGCCTATCAGTGCGTGCGAACTAGTGAATATAGTTTTCATCCTAAAACTTGGAGCACATCTAAGCCAACTTTTCACGTCCAATCTGTTTAACTTTCTTTGTTCGCAATACTTTCGAGACGGTTCTTTACACGCAAACGACGATGATTGCATGTCTCAGGCACAGCATGCATATCCACAAGGACGATTTACTCAAAAGGCGATTCATGAAGTAGTTAGAACAGTTGAAAGATCGCTCTAATTTATGCCAGTATAGTATGTGAGCTCTCCTTGACATACAAGAAGACTCTAGCAGGCCCTGTACAGAATCTGTCCACAAATCCTTAGGCCGCAGACACGCAAAAGCCGGCTGAGCGGCAAATGTCAGAAAATTAAAACATATGAAATACTATTTAAGTGGTCACACAATGAGCGACCTTGGGGCGGCTCATTGTGTGGCCACACGGCCTTAGAAGAGCTTGGCAGCATGGAGTGTATCAGTTCATATTTTATGGTTCTACATTGACCACATTAGAGGGCCAGATTTCATCCTCTACCTGAACTACATATGTATGTACAAGGAAATGTTTCCCTACAATCTTCAGAGATCGGGTCATAGGTGACACATGGCTTCAGGCTGCTTAAAGGCGCCTTGTACTTAAGTTGAATACTCAAAATTTTCTGGACTAACTCAGCGATTAGAAAAGCTTAACACTCTTTCAAAATAGGGAGTTATTCACAAAAATATTCGACCTTCGCATAACAAATAAAATTGTTTCTTAAACTAACAAAGCAAATAAGTTCAGCATTCAGTCTATGCATTTTTCATATCTTCTTATATTATGAGCAAACGCTACTACATACATACATACATACGTCGCTTTTATTTGATCAATGACCTTGACTACAGTCGTCCATACAATGCTGTGCAAAAAGTAAACACCCTACATTTTTGCAAAATAAATAGGTAAATAATCACTGACATTAGCATCTCACCTTTTTGTGATTCCACAGCGCATTCACGCTTGGCTTGCCGCGTCGAAAATCCGATTGATCGATGACATCGTCATGCACCAGACTTGCCGAGTGGACCATTTCGGAGAAGAGCGCAATAAATCTTTGTTTGTTTAGCAAATTACTAAAAGGAAAAAAATTTATTAATTAAAAATAAAAGATAAAAGATATATTGCAAAAACAAAATGTATATTACAAGTAGGAAGCTGGAAGGGGAAAAGCATGAGCGGCAACGAATTCAATAAAATATTTTTTGGTTTAATTAGCACCGTTATGCTTAGGCCAACATATGTATGTATATGTAAGCGAAATCGCGAAATACAATTGGCCAAAATGCGTATAGAAGGGCATCGAAGCAAATACGCGCGCGCGATAACAAAGAGCCAAAATAAAAACTAAGCCGTTGCTGTGCGGCGGACGCCTAACCTTCCACAACCACCTTCAATAAACGTTATTATAGCCGGATTTATTGCTCGGTGTGCAATTTGCGCAATGTTGCATACAATGTATGCTTTTGTGTGTTTATGTATTAGGTACAAGCAAACAAACTACCAACAAAGCAAATAGAAAACGTTGTTCATCATGATCATCATCATCATCATCAGCATAAACACCACTGCCACAGATCACTCATACGCTCCGTGCGCCCATTTAAACTAATGAATTTTTACGACGCGTCTTGCTGATGATAACGACGACGGAATGTGTGTGTGTGTGTGTGTGTGGGGTCGTTTGGTTCGCCACACGTGGCTGCAAAAACTCACTTACAAACCAAAAGGCGCGATGCAAAAATAAATTTAGATATTTTTTTCTAAAATTAACCGAATTTGCAAAAAAAAATCGTGAGTGCATTTCAATGAAATTTTGTACTCAGTTAAGCGAAGCGTATTTTAATTATTTTATTATTCTCATTTAAGCAACATTAATTGACTATATTTTCATTCAATTTGTTCCGCTCTACTATGCCACACAAACTATGAATTGCATTTTGCAAAAAACTTACCTTGATTCCTTATTTAAGTGGTAGTTTATCGCTCTGGCCATCAGCATAGTAACCATTGGCCGCAACGCTTTGCCCTGGCCATCGAAGTAGTACGAAGCGATTTTATCGAGTTCAGACTGACTCGTGCCCTGCCGCAGGAGCTAAGTATGAGAGGAGAAGGAAAATAAATCGAAATATTAAAAACTGTACACACATACATAGGTATATCGTCACCTATGGGTGAAAAGGTTCCAAATCCATTTTTTTTGAAATTTTTCAGGAGAGACGCAAAATCGATATAGTTTCGTATTAAAACAAAGCACTTGGCACCTTTTCACCTTTAGGTAGCGATATGTATTTATAAGGAAATCAATTACACAAAGAGTAGTACATACAACTACAAAGCGAAAATAATAAGAGTACCATAGTGTTTGTCGTAACTATATGACACTCACAAATTGACAAGATTTTACTATTTATTTTATTATTTTTTAATTTTAGTGATTTTTCATAAAAGTATATTTTATTCTTTAGCCCAACCATATAAGTCAAAGCTTCAGTGTTTGTGCAATATTTAAAAAAAAAAAATCAAAAAAAAAAAACTTGGTAAAAATTTCGAGCTTTCAAATTAGAATTCTTAGAAAGATCCGTTAAATCCATTAAATTTTAGTATAATAATTGATTTCTGGCAATTTTTGTTTGCTGAAAGTGTTGCTCCTTTTCTCCATATAAAGAAATGTATAGAAGAAAATGACTGGCATCGTCAACAAAAAAAAACTGCCATAAATCAACGGCAAGTCTCAGCTGCTTCAAACTTGCACCCTATTATACAAAAATCTAACGGGCTATAAAACTATTTACTAAAATTTTTTCTAAAAAATCTAGTTTAAAATTTCGAAATTTTTACGAAGGTTTGTTGATTTTTTGTTTAATATTGCACAAACACTGAAACTTTGATTTACATGGTTTTTGCTAAAGAATAAACTATACTTCTATAAAAAAAACACTAAAATTAAAGATAGTGAAATAAATACATACCTACTTTTTTTTAAAATAACGAAAATTAAAAAATAATAAAATGAATTTGTGACTGTCATACAGTTATGATAAGCACTATACTTAATTAAAAATTGTGCTCATGCGTCTTAGCTAAGTATTAAAACAATCTAATGGCTACAATAAAATATACCATTTTTAGTCAGAGGCACCAAAATTTAATAGTTAACAATTTAATTCTCCTTTTCAGCTGTTCTTAAAACTTTAAATGTTTACAACTATTTTTGTTTAGTTTAACTGCGATTTGAAGGCTGTGGTGTACATACATACGTACAAAATAAGCAACCAACCAAAATGCAAATTACCGAGATAAAAATAAACTCAGTTTACAGTTTACTCATCCATTTGTGGTGTTTATAACATTTTTCCCATATAATATTTAGCAAAATTCCCACAGCGTCATACCGCCTTCATCAAAGCAGCGATTTCAAAAAAAAAAAATCACTCATCTAAATTCTGGTAACGTCTTATGTCGCAGCGTTTGTATACCGTCGCCACTTAAACAGGTGCACACATGAATTTTTATCCCA